GCGCGCGGGGCGGCTCCCGCGGGACCACGGAGCCCCGGGAAGAGCCGGCTCCCCCGTGAGTAAAGCCCTGCCCTCTCAAAGCGAAGGGGAGCCGGGGTGGGAGAAGGGGGCGGATGCAGGGACGGAGCCGAGATGCCCTCGGGTGTTGCCTGCAGCTGGGTTTGGAAGTTTGCCGGTTTATCCTTGGCTTGAACTTTTTATCATGAGAATTGCTGCAACTTCAGGGGAAGGAGATGAGAGCGGCACGCGGAGCCTTCCCGTGTGCCAAGGCTTTTCGGGAGCGGAGGGGATCCCGCTGCTCCCTGTACCGGACCTGCCGGGTGCCTCCGTCGCAGGGCAGCGGGTCCTGCGGATGCTTCACTGGATCGGATCTTTGTTGAAGCAATTCTTGTTCTGCCAAAAAGCTCAAATCCCACGATAAGTTTTGGGGGGTCTTTTGGGCGCTTTGTTTTGTTTTCTGGTGATGGGTCAGGGTTTGGAGGGGTGCTCGGTGCAGTGTCCCCTCCAGGTGATCCCCTCCCGCTGCCCGATCCCTGTGTCCATCCCTTTCCCGCTCTGGAGAATGACTTTGCTCCAAGCTCTCCGCTCCGAGGTACTGTCAGGAACAGCTGGGATGGTTGGATCCGCTGGGATGGGGATGCTCCAAGGATGGAGGAGACCTCCTGGCTTGGCTTGCAGGACTCTTGTCCTCCCTGTCCTCACACCGGCACCGGGACCTTGGCATGGAAACACCACATGAAACTAGCATGGGAGCAACCACCACGGTCCGGGCCGATCCTGGGATCCGTGGCTTTCCTGGATCCGAGCGGAATTGGCCAAGGGGGTCTTGGCACAGACCTGCGTGGCTGCAGCTGCTTTCGATGGCGTTTCCAGCACTTTGGCTGTGCTGTGTGAGGCACACGGGCACCTGGATGCGCTGCCTGGGCTTCCTTAGCCGGGCAGCTCCGTGTGGCTCTGCATCCCGGTGGAAACGTCATCCGCAGGAAGCGGGAGTAAAACTCGCTCCATCTGCCCTCGCTGTGGGGATGCGGGATGGCGCCAAGGGTCCGTCGGAGC